CCCCAAAACCCCAAAACCCCAAAACCCCAAAACCCCTCAGGTCTATTAAATGCTGAATCTTTTTTATAAGATATAGCTAAAAATAGCAAAAATGGAAATAGAAGATCCTGACGATTTTGAAATTATTGATTCTGAAGAAGAAGAAGTTGAGTACAGTAGTCAAGATGATGAAGAAGCTGATGAAGAAAACCAACATATGAAGTTTGATAAGAGGACTGGTGAAGCTGTCTCTGCTGAAGTCTTTAGTAGTGAAGCCACCAGTAGCGAAGTCATGGGAGGAGGGGAAACAGTTAACCTTTTCGAAGAGGAAGAAGCAGTCGGAGATGCATTCATGGCTGTCAAGCCTTGGATTGGAGCTGTTTTTGAACCTGCTGAACACCCTGATGAGAACCCAGATCCTCCAGATGAGGAGTACAAGCTTGAGTATGTCTTTGGATACAGAGCTGAAGATTCAAGAAATAATCTTCACTATAACTCCGAAGGAAAGCCTGTCTATATGACAGCTGCAGTTGGAGTTATCTTAGACCCAGAGAGCAACACACAGACCTTCTTTGGAGGAAATGAGGTTGAGAACCAAGCCAAACAACATGCCACAGATAAAAACAATCATACTAATGATATCACTGCTATTGCGATATCGAACGATAGGACTATGGCCTGTTCAGGTCAAAATGGTTCAAAGCCAACAGTGTTTATTTGGGATGCTACTACTGGTGAAAAGATTAGAAGAATTGTTTTACCAAAGGGATCAAGAGAGGTGTCTGGTATCTCTTTCTCTCAAGACGGACAATACATCGCAACTATTGATAATCATAATGATCACCGCGTAAGAGTCTATGAAGTAGAATCTGGTGATAAAATCTTTGAGCAAAACTCTGGTACAAACAAGATTTATGATCTTGAGTGGTCAGTTAAAGAAGGACACAATGAATTCTCCACTGTTGGAAACAAGCACTACATGGTCTGGAGACCACTTGAAGGTCTTGCCAAGAAGGGTGTCTATGGAGGAAAAGGAAAGATGTGTTCCCACGCATGTGTCACTTATGATCAAAATGGAACTTGCTATACAGGAGGAAGTAACTCAAGAATTTACTGCTGGAGGAATAGGTCACTTAAGAAAACTTACAAAGTCCATGGCGCTGGATTCGTTGGAGCCATTAGATATGACAACGGAAGAATCTTCAGTGGAGGTAAAGATGGAAATGTCATCATCTCAGATCCTAACAGTGGGGAAGTTGAAAGAACTATTGAAATTGGTGCTCTTATCAGATCAATAGACATTTTTGATTCAAAGATATTGATAGGAGATAGAGAAGGAAGAATCCATGAAGCTAATGAAGGTGACGAAGATGTGACTATTCTGATGCATTCTCATAGCGACGGAGAAGTCTGGGGACTCTCATTAGTTGATGATAGCACCATCATCACCTCAGGAGACGATAACAAGGTCATGGTTTGGAACATTGATGATAGAGCTCATCTTAATCAAAGCATTGTCAGCAATATCAAAAAGAAATCAAGAATCGGCAAAGCTAGTTCACTTACAAAGTATGCTGCCAGCAAGTGCGCTAGAGCAGTTGACGTTAACATAAAGTAAGTCCTGATATATTTAGTTCAAATCTAAATCGAATGGTGTGAGTTTAATTTACTGCACTTTAGCATATCCTTTACTTGGATAACGAGGTTTAACTTTCTAAATCCAGTCTTTGTGTATCCCTTTCCTGTTGATAAGTCTTGATAGCTATATCTAATAGCTAGCTAGATATTTGTAAGCTTTATTTTTAGAAAGCTTGGTTTCATTAAAATATCTTTCTTCATCCTGATCTTATAGTGGAAATGGAAATGTGGCTGTAGCATCAAACGCAGGAATTGTTACTATCAGAGAATCGATTGAAGCTCTTGATGAAACAGTTGCTGAAATGCATGACTCCGATGAGTGGGTAGAAGTTCTCACTTACTCTCCTTGTGGAATGTTCCTGGCTTGTGGTTCTCATGATAACAACATTTACATCTATGATGTAGAAGATGGATATTCACTGAAAGCTACTTGCAAAGCACATAATTCTTACATTACCTCTGTTGACTGGAGTGAAGATTCTTCAACCTTAAGATCAGTGTGCGGAGCTTATGAGTTGCTCTTCTTTGATGCTGAGTCTGGTGATCAAGATCCAGGAGGTGCCTCAGCTAATGTCGAGACTGTTTGGGCTACAAACACTGCCAAATTTGGGTGGTGAGTTGATGGTATTTTCCCAGGAAACACTGATGGAACTCATGTTAACCATGTTGACTTCACTAAAGATATGTCGCTTCTTCTGACTGCAGATGATTATGGGCTTGTAAACTTCTATAGAAACCCAGCAAGAAAGGGGCATACTCCTAGATCATACAGAGCTCATTCAGAGCACGTTGTGAGAGCTAAATTCACTTCTTCTGCTGAGAAAGTAGTGAGTATTGGAGGATACGATAAAACCATTATGGTTTGGGCTAGACAATAAACCTTCTAATGAAATTTCAGTTGAGTGTACTAACCAAGGGGTTTTGGGGTTTTGGGGTTTTGGGGTTTTGGGG